AAGAGGGGACACATGTTGATGTAGAAGAGACATGAGGAAGAGGGGACACATGTTGATGTGACATGAACAAGAGGGGACACATGTTGATGTAGAAGAGACATGAACAAGAGGGGACACATGTTGATGTAGAAGAGACATGAACAAGAGGGGACACATGTTGATGTAGAAGAGACATGAACAAGAGGGGACACATATTGATGTGACATGAACAAGAGGGGACACATGTTGATGTGAAATGAACAAGAGGGGACACATGTTGATGTAGAAGAGACATGAACAAGTGGATTTTGCATAATAGGTGACCTTTGAAGAAAAACACACACAGTCACACACATGTTCACTCAAAAACCCCAGACATATTACATGAGTGGGTCGTACCATGAAGAAGGTCATGGTGCTCCCCCCGTGGATGGTGCCGTACTCGATGTTGGTCTGGTCGGCCAGGTCGTCCGGAGACTCGATAGGGACCTCCATCCTCTGGACGGTGAGGAAGGCCGCCAGGTTGGCCGTGTAGGAGGAGATGATGATCAGGGTGAACGCCCACCTGTCAGGGGCAGACAGGGGAAGACACGTAGATAAGGTGAGCATGGATGGACAATATGTAGGACACTTATATGGCAAAACAGTTTCTTTCAGGGTTAATTGAAATATACACTCTATTTTTACAATGTGATAATGGCATCATTTTACATGTTCACTCCGTCTTTTCTGTTTTACCACATACTTATTTAGTTTTATTTGTATTGACATGTGCTTGCCACTTTTTTTTTATAATGTAAGTCTACTCTTTTAATGTTTGCCTATTATCTGCACTGCTACTTTGCTCTTGTAACGCTTAAGGAACAATGCTTTCCAAGCTTTCCGATTCTGATTCTAAAAACGTCAAACTTAACTGTTAATCAGCAGTATTCTTATCCTTTTCCCTTTAATAATAGAAACGGTTCTGACAATATTAATTATGGCGACATTTTTGAAACAGAGCTGCAGATTTTTTTTCTTAATTTGACTCGCAATCTTGAAATGTGGGATATATAGACTTTCTGGATCAAAACCAATTATACATATCATGTCGAATTCTCGGGGAAATATCTGGAAATCCCTGGCATTTTATCACATTAAAATAATTAATAGTAATAAAAGAAGATTAGTATGAATCAATCCTGCTTTTTAGAAGCACAGCCAACACTTGCCAAAAAATACAAGGACTTTTCAAGGGAGGGCGTAAACTGTGGAGCAAACATTCCCAAAATAAATGCTTTCACCGTGTTTATAATCAAAACAACGCACTTTAAATGTGGGGTAGGTAAGTCTGAGAAACCGGCTCGAGATACACTTTTTGTTATATTCCATGGAATGCTCTTAACATCCCGATAGCAATGAATATCTTAAGTGCTTTGACAAAAAACCCATAAAAAAATGTCATCTGTGGAAGCCGTAGTGCTGTAAAAAGCACGACCAATCATCTGAGCCGGCCCGGCTAAAATAACTGGATGGCCTACCTGCCTGTCAGCCTTCCATCTGTGCACAAACTTACCTCGTGCCCTCATTGGTCATGTGAGCGTTCGTGTGTGTTGGAGGAGACACATATTGATGTGACATGAACAAGAGGGGACACATGTTGATGTGACATGAACAAGAGGGGACACATGTTGATGTNGCCTTCCATCTGTGCACAAACTTACCTCGTGCCCTCATTGGTCATGTGAGCGTTCGTGTGTGTTGGAGGAGGGGAGTAAGGTTGTAAGGAAGTGGCAGATTTTCTCCGGTTGTGTATTTTCAAATTCTGCACTCGAGCCGGTTTCTCCAAAATTACCTACCCCACCTTTAAGTGTAAGTAAGAAATGGTGTCAGGTTTATAGGACTTACATAGACTAATACAGGAAAACATACTCCCAAACTTCTTGAATTGGACTCTCTTCTGACCTTTCTTGCATGTCTTCAAACTTTGTTCAAAAAGAACATTATGTATTCACTTTGCTTAATAATGTTCCCCTATCCCATATCTTGCTCAACTCAGTGTAATTTGCTCTTCCTGTCTTCCTCTACCCTTTATCTCCTTAGCTCTGAGCGATCATTTTATCCTTTACCGCGTGTGTGTGTGTGTGTGTGTGTGTGTGTGTGTGTGTGTGTGTGTGTGTGTGTGTCCGTCCCAGTCACTATGTTGCCACAGGACTATCATCAGGCTACTGTGGTGTTTCTGTGAGTTTAGCATTTTTGTTTTGTTTGCCCGGTGCTCAGGGACTGAGCTTTATCCTGTTAAACTTTAAAATCTAAATGTCATTATCTCACACAGCGGATGTGCTAAGGAGAAGAGAAGGGAAAATGCATCCTCAAGGAAAAATGCAGTTTCTGATGAAGACATGAGGTTAACCAGTGGATTGCTTTCAACACAATTATAAAGAGAAAGTAGGAATCTAGTATTTACAGTAACAGTTTAGCAAATATCTGTAAAATGGCTGATCTTCCTGTAATAATCAAATGTAGTTTAAAGATCATGACATTGGACTTCATGTCGTTATCGTTATTTACTGCCCGCTTCTAATTATTTAATTTGGTCTATTAGTCGTTTTATTATTTGAACGTATTTTATTGTATTTTATTACCATTTTTTAAATTATAGTATTTATCTTTTATCTTAACTATTTTCACATTTCAGAAATCGGTTGCTCTTCTCTAACCCTTTGCTCATAAATACCTGTTTTAACGAGCGCTACGAGAAGCGCTTCCACCTTTGACACTTGAATGTAAAAACTCTGCAGATTGAATCTCAAACATCTAATTAAAGTAACAATAGGCAAAAACAGGGATTTTAAACAAGTCGGCAGACAAACTTCAAAGGAAACTCAGAAACGAATAACTCCAATGTAATATATATCCATGGTCTAAGTTAGTTAAATCAATATTTGAGCACATGAGCTGCTTTCTCTCTCAAATCCATCCAAATTAATTGTGAAACTTGTAGTAGAATCAGGTCTGGAGCTGCTCCAAAGACACATTTGGTTGAATCAAAGTGTTTCGTTTTTTAAACCTTAATTACCGGTAGCTGTATTTCTGTCCCCAGAGTCAGAACTAAACATGGAAAAGCAGCGTTCAGTTATTATGCTCCAAATATCTGGATCAAACTCCCAGAAACCTGCAGGTCCACTGCGACTCTGACTACTTTTAAATCCAGGCTGAAGACTTTTCTTTTTGTCGCTGCTTTTAATTGATATATTCACATCTTAAACTGCACTGTAACTTTTACTGTATCCATGTATTTTTTCTTTTAATGTTTATTTTATTAACTTTTCTTTTTAATGACTGATTTTAAATGCCATTTTCTTAATGTCTTTCTTTTTTTGTAAAGCACTTTGAATTTCCTTGTGTTGAAAAGTGCTATATTAATAAACTTGCCTTGCCTTATTCTCAGTTTTCTCAGTTTTCCATATACTATAATTATCGGACTATTCCTCAGGGTGCTCTCATTGTCAACTCTAAAATATGTACCAATTAATTGTCAAAGGAGCATTTGGATACTTTGCACTTAATGACATCAAACATTTGAGTTTAGCACTTTTTGGAAGTGGGAGGGACTTGTTCAGGATTATCTATATATGTTGACAGCAATAACATGTATGGATTGTGTAACTCACCACACCCCACTAACACATCTGGTGGACAGGGCTCTGGGCATTATCTCTGACCCCTGCTGCATGAAGCCTCCGATGGGGAACCACAGGCTGTTCCCCAGCGTGTACTGGTTCTCCAACACGTCCCTGCGCTCTCTGAGACACGGGTGAGGGTTGTACCACTCATAGGGGCTCAGCCTGGTGGAGAAACGCAGGCAGAGGGGAATACAGGTTGAACGGCCTTGAGGTCAAACCGCAGTACAGTAATGCACCTCCATCAGATCATTGAAGCCAGCACCAATCAGTCATTCGATCGCTGTCAATCTGTCTGCGGGAGGTTGTGTACGGGAGGACATGAGGATATCTGACAGGCAACTCGTGTTCGACATGACAAATGCCGATAGAGCCGCTGACTGTGGGCACATTGTGTGAGGAAATGTATTGACCTTGCAGCCAGGAAGAGCACACAGCTGACAGCCAGGTAGGCGAGCAGCATGAAGAGCCACACTGCCGGAGAGAAGGGGTCGAGGAAGGAGAAGTAACCCGGCTTCCGACCCTGGTGCACGGAGAGAAGAGAAACAAAGTGAAGTGGAGCGATGGATGGAGCAGAAGAGACAGGAAGGTAGAGTACAGTGTGTTTAAAAAACGAGGTGTCATGTCTCTCACTGAGTGTCTCGTCTGCACCACAGGAGGGCAGTGTCCTTCCCCGCGCGCTGATAGTGAGTCTGCAGTGCTTTGATACGCTAATGCTACAATCCATAAACGCTCCGTTTCACAATGCCTTCTGCTGAAGCACACTTGGCTTGGACCCAGAAGCTCATTAGCAATGTAAAGCTGCCACTGGTACGGAGCTACGGAGCGCTGACTTATTGAGCAATTTAAATTACACCTATACATTTCACAGTGGACACAGAGCACGCTACACAATCCTCGACTTCAAAGATGGGATCAACTGTTATGTAAGATTCAGTCTGATTTCATAAGAAGTCGAGTGTGTCTCAGCTTAAAAGCAGCACAAACAGAAGAGATGAACAAACACAGGATCTGGAGAGAGTATCTCCCTGCAGCCCCAGATAACACCCTCACCAGTTGAGCTCGGTACAAGATGCTGATCCCCAGGGTCATGAACGGCTTAGAGAAGTCGATAACTTTCTCTCTTTCCGATGTGATGGTGAAGCCCGCTACGGCCAGGTCTGCTTTCTGGAGGATTGACAAAGATAGATAGGTGGTGAAGATAGAAGTGGAGGAGAGGGAAAGAGAGAGGCGGTGGAGGAGAGTCAGGGAGAACAAAAAAGACAAGTGGTCAGATACCTGCGTAAAAATAGAAAGACACTCGACGCTGCACTGAAACATGAGAGCTCTGTATAAAATTATCATGTTGGCAGCGCACGTCTGAACATTTCCACTGCAGCTCCATTTGAACATCAAACAAGGACAAAGACATTACACTAAAGACAGTGTGTACACTCTAAAAACGAATTCAGGCGACCTTTCACCTCCACTTAATTAAATGCATGGTTGCAAGATAAAAATGTGAGTAAATTGATTTAGATAAACATTTTAAGTTGCCAACATTCATTTATACTGTGAGTTGTGTTGACGTAATAATGTTGGTAATTACATCAACTTAATATTGTGTGTAATTTGAACTCTGATTTCTGCGTTAATTGACTTAAAACTTCAAGTTGTACTAAGTAATGCAATTGGCTTGATGACTTAATTGTTCTACACCTTGAGTTAAGGATTTCAAGTCCACTCCCACTTAACATGCCTGGACAAGTTACGACAGTTAAGACAAATAGAAATAATACACAAAGGACATTTTAAGGTGAGTGTCATCTTTTGTCATTCAAATACAGTAGATAGCCTTGTAGTTGCACTGTATAGGCAAATTGCTGTTTGACCTAAATTAGCAGCCTTTGAACTGTGAATAGTTCTGTGAGAGGATACAAAGTAGTAGAGGCTACTGTGAGAGTAAAAATACTTTGGTTACTATTGTGATATCACTTTTTATTAAAAATGAATCTCGGTGAAGCAGATCAAGGACATGCTTCTTGAGGTAGGATCGTTATTTAGAGTTGTCATTGAAATGCAAGTTGTTGGCAGTCACCCATTCAGAATATATTCATTTAGGTAATTTCTCTTTTTTTCCTTTTTCAAAAATAGCACAATACACGTGAAGTACGCAGAGAACTATAGCCATCCGCTGCCTTGTCGTGTACCTTGGAGTAAAGGAAGAGGACCTTTTCAAGGAGTTTAGCGACGTAATTAAAAATCTTGAAATCAAATCAAATCCATGGGCACAGTGTAAAAACACAGGACAAAAGCACTGCTCTCTGTCAGTTACATTTGGAAGCATATTGCACTTTTGGCCACACCCCAATCAATAATATCTTAGCAACGTTCAGCATGGATAGGTGTTGACAGCAATGGCATGGGAAAAGGATTGTGTAACATTTGAAAAGTGGCTTCTGCTCTTCACTTAACCAGTTCAAATATTGTATGGAACCTGCTAAAAAGATGAGAAGATACACTAAAACTTGCACGGTTGTGATTGACNGTGTGCCTTGGCAGTCTCAGCTGCAGTCAGCTGTGATTTCAGGTGTTCATGCACCTTATCATATGGCATGTGTCAATAAATGTTCAAATTAAATGAATGCTCTCCTGATTGAAACATCATGTGTTGAAATAAACAACTGCAGTTCAAAATAAAAAGTGAATTGCCTAATATTTTTGTTGTGTAATTATTAATTTCTTTCTTTAGAGGCAAAAACATGAAAAAGCTAAGAAAAAAAACTATTAAATACAATATATTTGGAGCAACTTGATTTTTGGAGTAATCAACTTAAAAACTTGTATCCCGAATGAGGGTAATTAAGTACATACAACTTAAAATCCCTTTTAAATCATGTGGTAAAACTAGTCGGAACAACTTAATCTTTTGAGTAATCAACTTCAAAACTTGTGTTTATGCTACCAATTATTAAGTAAGTGGTAATTAAAAACACCTCTGATTGTAGAGGAAAAGCCTTCTCCCCTAACTCAAATAACTTTGTTGCTTTAAGACAATTTCATTAGAAGTTGTCTTAACTCAATAAACATCGATGCAAACTGTTGCGTTGATTTTCTTTGTTGAGCCAAGGCATTTGTTTTTAGAGTGTACGTTCAAAACCCTTCAATCTGAAAATAAGCTCCACATTTCATTTTTAGGATTGACTAGTGCAAAAAGGAGTGCTTCTGTGTAACCTTTTTAAATCATGGAACCCTGTGTGTCTGATTTGATGGTAACCATTGGATACCAGCTGTTCCTGCCAGAGTTGAGGTCAGAGACAATGATGCTGGATGGCCTTTCTTATGTTATTATGGTGGGCTGATTCATGGAGTTTCAAAAGTGATTGACCTATACAATCCTTGAGCGGATTTCAATTTGGTGGAGCAGTTTGACTTTAAGTATGTAGACAAACACTTATACCATGGCAACAGCGTGGAGCACAAATTACAGAAGAAAAGAACAAAATATTTTTTTCTATTCGCTCCGTAGGACTTAAGGCGATGCAGAACATAAACTCTTTGTTTGGTAGTTTTCAAATGTTGATTTCCAGAATGAAAAATGAAATGTTTGACAGTGGCACTTGAAAATACATTTGGAAAAACATCGATGCGTGCACTCTCCCTCTGGCACAGAAACTCGCACATTACCCACAGTCCAAATGAGGCTAATTGCGAGTAAGCACTGGGTGTCCGGGCTATGCACCTGTATGAGGTCTCTGGTCGCTCTGCCTCCCCTCCATCTCTTCCATTAAAAGCTAATTGATGAACATGGGCCGCTAATTAGAGCTGAGTGATCAGGCAGTGGGTAGGGCATGAGGGAGAGTAGCGTGGAGAGCCGGGGGAGCACCAGTGTGGCAGCCCCCACACAGGGACCACAGTCTGGTAATTGAAGTATACCGTATGGTAATTAAGCAGAGAGGGGCTCTCATTAGCCTGCTTCCACTACAGTGTCTGTCTGAGGCGCACTATGTTTGGACAGGGGAAGCAAGGAGGGGGATAGTGTGAGGAAAAGATGGTGCAGACACATTTTAGGCAATGCAACCACTCTCTTTTGGGGAATTATCGAGTCAGCTTTTGTCCTAGATAAGAGTCTTGCTCCCCTCTGAGGGCAATTTGAGACATGTGAAGTTACAGCAGAGTTGTGGTTTGGGGCTACAGCGTGAGTGTGTGGGTGTGTGTGTGTGTTGAGCATAAGTTTCTGTTGCTAGAGATACTGGTTAGAACATTTGAGCATGTTGCTGTGAGTATGTGAAACAGAAAGAGAGGGAGAGGGAGAGTGTGCCCACCCTGTTGATTAGCTCTCCAACCATGCCAGTCCAAGAGCCGTTGGGCTCTGGCGCCCCGTACAGCCCGTCGTCCACCAGCTTGATTCTGAAGGAGAATTTCAAGATGTCTGCCAGCTCCTTCAGCATGTCCACACAGAAGCCCTCGTACTGGTCGTTGCCCTGGAAGTCCTGGTAGTTCTCTCTGCGCATCACATATGGGTTCTCCTAAGCAAGGGGAAAAAACACAAGGCGATTCAATCCAAAACTAACAGTATCGAATTTGAGCAGAGATTACTGACTCAAATGTAAGACTCTATGCTTCAAAGCAAATTCAATTATAACACAAATAACTGTAATGTAAATAATAGACAGTTGGACATTTTGGGAAAATGGCTTTCAAGTAGAGAGGGATGAGGAGATCAATACCACTCTCTTACTTAGTCTGGAAACAAGGTGTAACCTGGCTCTATCAGATTGTTGGAGCTATATATCTCTTTATTTATTTAATAGTTTAATATTTATTTTCTTGCTGTTTATAATGTTTATTGTAAATGTATTCTTAGTTAGTGTCATAAATTAAATTAGTTTCTATGCTTTTATTTTGAAGGCATGTTTGGGCACTGGGTGATTAGAGCACCTGGTCTAATTGTATATATTGGAGACAGGTGGAGGTGGGAGCCAGAGCACTAGTAGGCAAACGGTTTTTTTACCAGGGTGTTTCAAGCCACACAAAGGAAAGCCATAGGAACGGCTTAAGGAAAAGAGATATAGGAAACCTGTTCATTGTACTTTATTATTGGAATAAAATGCACAAATGGAGGTTCTTGTCTGGACTCGGATGATCATTGGCCTGCGTAAGATCCGCTAACTAGTGCCTCAGCGGCTGTTTTAGTTCTATAGGATTTTGGCCGCTACACAGATGTTAAAATCCACCATGAACATGTTGTAGCTTTTTATTTAAATCCATATAGTTTATTCTTTGAGCTAAGCTAACTGACTATTTACCAGAGTGCTATCGATCTCGGTCAGAAAATGTAATTCTCCAAATAGAGAACGATTGCATTAATATAGGTTAGGAAGCACAAGTTGTATTGTTCATGCTTTTGATTTGATTATGTTTCCATATGTAACTCTGTCCAAAGCATTTTGAGTCATTACTCAAATTAAGTTATATGTATGTACAGTACATTCAAAGTCCATTTATTGGACAAATAATACAAAGACATTGGTTAAACCAGTCTAAACAAAAGGATTACAAACAGTTGCATCATGGGAAAAGTAGGATTCAGATGTTATTAGTGCTTAAGCAATACCTTGGTCTGAAAGACAGGATATCTTCCTAGCTGAACAATCACTTTAAAAGGTCTGCAAGCTTTCAGTATAATTTCTGATTCTAGTTCAAGTGTTATTTCAAAAGGCCAGGACATAAGGAGAACCCCCCCGAGCACACATGGGCACAAACCAATTTAACTCTTGAGAGAAATCAGTGAAATAGCTCTCTTGGCTTAAAAAAATGTAAGCTTTTTATTACCAAATTATACATTTTCTAGTGTATGTTTTAAAGGAATGTAAGGTTATTTGTAGCCATATGATTTGTTATGTACCTAATTTTCCTAAAAAAGTATAATAATAGCAAGTAACCAAGCTTTATTATTATTGTTACATCAACAGTCATGTCAACAAAGAATATTTAATGTTTTATTTGAGCAAAATGCGGCAGAGGATTAATTGTAAGGGTTTTTATACATCCATGCCAACGTGGAGAAGATGGAGCAGCACCGTGTGAGGGATTTATTGATTTGCTGATGTGACATTACTCATATGGAAACCAGACAGAGACGCACTCGAAGTGCTCGGAGATTATGAGAGGTCCAACGTTCTGGCGGTTTGAATTCAGAAACACATTTCTCTCAGTGCTCTGTCAGCTTCTATGACAGCATCAGTGACAGCTAAATTAGCACAAAGCAGACAACAAAACAGCTTGAGCTGCGGCACAACAACATCCATGACCTCAGCAGCACGGGGGGCAGGGGGTAACGTACCATTATAGTGGTGACGATGAGTGTCTTGTTGGCCAGCGTCTCCGAAACATTGATGTCCAGACTGGTGGAGTTCATTGCCAGAGTGTTGTTGGAGTACCAGATCCCGATCTATCAGAGCAAGCAAGAGGAAATCAATGGCTGAAGAGGGACACATACTGTGGCATTAAAGGGGCCCTAAAATGCTTTTTGGGGGTTTTCCCTTACCTGAAGTCTGTTATGGGTTTTTGTGATGTAAATGGTCTGCAAAGGCTAAAATCCCAAGCCACCCCCTACTACTTTGGTAACACAATGACATCACTATGTAACTCTTGCGCGGCTATTGGCTCGCATTGTACATTGTACGTGATCGGCTAAGGGGCGGGACATCTCTAAGCGGTTGACCAATCACAACAGAGCCGGCCAGCTAACCAATCAGAGCAGACTGGGCTCTGGTTTCAGACAGAGGGCGAAAAGAGGGGCTGCAGCACAGGCACTATGAGAACAATGAAGTCCTTTTTGAACATTAAAGCATTTAAACATTTCACAGTAGAGGCACAGAATACAAATATGAACCTGAAAATGTGTTTAATATGTCCTCTTTTAGCTCTGACTAAACTGCAACCCTGTTACTGTAGTAGACGGATACACACCATGTGAAGAAAGTAAGTATTTCAGTAGTCCTTAGCACTATTAGTCTTTTTTATAAGGACCTTTGAATGTTGTATATTTTCTTCAATGCTTTTGTATCCATATCGTTGCATACTGTATACGCATATTGACTTAATTCCCCCCATTGGAGTCATACTGTACTAGTACCATGCAAAAAAAGAAAATCCCTGCTATGACAGGCAGAGCAAGGATCTGGGAGAAGATGGCAAAATATAAAAAGCATTCATGAAAGGGAGTTTCATTGCCATGTCTGTTATCCTACTAACACCTTTCTTAAATTGCATAAAAAAACAGCTCACATATTTCCGTTTTATGGAGACAGTAAAGTCGCTAAGGTACATAAGTGTGTGATTACGACCTAACCGGTGAGTAGGGGTGGAACCGCAGCTCAGAGACACGTCTTTAGGAGATATTGCTGTACATTTTTCAATAGGTCAGAGGAGAGGTAATGACTCCTCAGACAGAATCACAGTTATTCTTTTACACTCTTTATCCTGCCCTGACATTTAAGAATAGTATTTTTCCTGTCAGCCATCACTGCGTTGCCTACAGTGTGGGTGCTGCTGTGCAGAGAGGTGGGCAGAGTTAAAATGGTAATTACCGCTACCTAAAACTCTTAAGTCTGGCTTTAAGTATGGTTATCAGGTGCTATTTAGTGTTAGCATGGGAGGCAGTTGGCCTATAGCAGAACCCTGCAAAACGTATTAAGGGAAGGTGAAGGGAAAGTGTTTCCTCCAGTCAATGAACCACAGCGTAATTCCCTCAGTCTGGATCTGCAGTGATGTGTATACTTATGCCTCATTTAATCTTGACTTTGAAATGCATTTTGATATCTATCTTCCCTCACCTTTCTTTCGAATGCTCACTGGAGGAGTCTGCAGAGACAGAATATTGCCACCAAAATTGTTCTTTACACCTCGTTGGTTGGGTCTGCCGACATTATATGTTTGTCCCCCACATTGACCAACTACCCTGAACAAATGCATTGTGGCATGTAACTAGTACATCAAATAGATGACGTGCACAGACTGACAGGGAAGATCTGGTCCAGGAAATTTAATGAAAAGGATTTCTTTTCCTTTAACAAATGAAAGGTCGAAGCCTTGAGCAAGAAAACACATTCTTGTCAGTACACATGGTGGTTTGCTGCTAGAGCCTTAATTGGTCTGGTACGAGTCGGTGGCTACTATAAAAAAACGTAAGATAGATTGTGCTTTGTAACCAACAATGCTGAGTACATTATGCCTCTTCACTAATTGGGTTATTGTTAGACTATGTTTTAATGTTTACCATTATCCTGTCATTGCCACTGTTGTTTTCCCATTCATGTAGTGTGTTATATAGGTTTGTAAATGGTCTGCAAAGGCCTTAAATCCAAAGGTTTCTCTCCCATACACTCCCGCCTGCCTGAAATACCTCCATTAGACTCCTTTGTTCACTTCAGTAACATAATGACATCACTACGTCACACTCGAGCTGCTAATGGATAGCGCTCCGACACATTGTACGTGATAAGCCACGGGGTAGGTAGGACATCTCTAAGAGGTTGACCAATCACAACAGAGCCGGCCAGCTAACCAATCAGAGCAGACTGGGCTCTGGTTTCAGACCGAGGGTGAAAAGAGGTGCTGCAGCACAGGCAGTATGAGAAGAATATAGAGCTTTTTGAACATTAATGCATGTTAACATGTCACAGTAGAGACATTAAATACAAATATGAACCTGAAAATTAGCAAATTATGTCCCCAAAATGTGTAGTTTTGAATCTAAAGACATGTTTAACTCCATACAAATACTCTACTATGATTTATATTGATGATTTGGTCTTTCCCATAAAGAAGTTAAACCCTGAAAAGGGCCTGGAAGCACATCTACTCTTTCTTACTCATTTGAAAATCCTGGATCTATATCACAGGCCTGGCGCCCTGCCCACAACTGCTGCTCCTGTTAGGGTGACTGGTGAAAGAGCAGCGTGCACCAAGATGGCTAGAGAAACATCAGAGACATTCATCGGTATGTTTGAGCCTCAGCCAGACCCAGTTTCAGAGAAGTCTGCACTAAACACAGAAACTAGCAGAATCATCACAATGGTACTGTAGGTGTAATCTTTTATCCGTTTTTGTTATCTGTTATCTTGTCACAAAAAGAGGACAGGTGCTGAGCTGGAAATGAGTAATTATTAAAATAATATGTGTGCACTTTGTTATTGAACCTAAGTAAGATGTGAGCTTGTAACTGGCAGTGGCTGACACCGTGTCAGTGGTTGTGAAATAAAGAATAAAATGAAGTGAGGTTTTTTTGGTAGATGGTGGAAAGAAGCTCCAGGGTCCGGCTTACATTCAAAGACTGCACACCACCGTGTTCGCTGTCAAAACTTTCACCCTGCTAATGCAAACTCTCCTGTCTGTATTTCCAGTCCGCTCTGCACTGGAGGCTTCAGGTTTAGCTATTGGCTTTAAAATGTGAGACACACCGAATGTAGCTGGCCAGGGGTGAGTTTAACGGTACGCATACTTGCCAACCTTGAGACCTCAGAAATCGGGAGCATTTCAAAACCGGGGGGGGGGGATGCTTATTGTAGTTCTACAGTAAGTGCACTGCCTTGCGGCCTGTAGCACCATCCTTGATGGAGCATATGTGTGGGCTGGACCTGTATTTTACAGGAAAGGAGTGAGTCGAGTAGTTGTCGATTCTTGTTCTGTTTTCTGTGAATATCTGCCTCACCCTCTCAGACTTTGAGTTGCACGCGCTACTAAAGTTGTTATGACAGCGCTATTCTTCAGTAAGGAAATGTCCCTTAGTTGAAAGGATATTTTCTATTCTTGATCCTTTGTATACATTGTTATCGTACATATACTGTATACATAAAGGATCAAAACAGAGTCAAATATCATTTGCATTGAGTTGTTATATTTATATCTACAGCCTTACAGAGAAACTGCTGCACTGTGATCATATTGTGTTGTTGTCTACTCCAAAAGGTCTGACCTTAACTTGTATCAAAATGTTGTAACTACAGAGATTCTGAAAGAGGAGTTTTCTGTGCACTTCCATACAATCTGAGTTTAACGATACGTCCACACAGCGGCTTTGGAAAAAGCTTGCCGACGGGCTTGTCTGAAGCTCAGCCAACAACCAATCACATGAATCTCCCGCCCCTGACACAGAAGCAGCGGTTTGATTGGCTAGAGCTTTTACTGGCATATGATTTGATTGGCTGACGCTTCCACCGAAAGCTTCACAAGATTCAAAAGTTGAACATTGCTCAACTTTTGAATCCTGAGATGCCTGGAAGTCTCCGCTTTGCTTCCCACAATGCAGTTTGGCGAAAAAGTGAGGAAAGGTGACGTCACCCCATTCAAAGTGAATGGGCAGAAGCGTTGGAAGATTTTTTTAACTCTGCTGTGTGGACGTACCGTCATACTTGCCAACCCTCCCAATTTTAGCGGGAGACTCCCGATTTCACTGCCCTCTCCCGGTTTCCTCCCGGGGTCATATTTCTCCCGCATTTCTCCCGATTTCTCTAAAATTCTGATTTACTCACGACTGTTTCCACTCGGACTTGCCAACAGCTACACCATTTGTTTGTTTTCCATGGGTAGCGGTTCTTTAGTAGCGGCGCCGCAACTGAAAGTCTGAGAGGGTGAGGAAGACCAGTCACAGAAGGAAAAACAGAACCAAGAATAGACCAACTCGACCCTCTGCTCACTCCTTTCTCTGTTAAAATACAGGTCCAGTCCCCACAACATTATTGCTCACTCAAGGATGGTGCTACGGCCGCAAGGCAGTGCACTTACTTGTAGAACTACAATAAGCATCATCCCCCCCCCCCCCGGTTTTGAAATGCTCCCGATTTCTGATGGGGTTCTCAAGGTTGGCAAGTAATGCGTACCGTTAAACTTTTCACCCCGCTGGCCAGTACATTCTGGTGTGTCTCACATTTTTAAAGCCATAGCTAAACCCTGAAGCCTCCAGTGAGAGCGGACGGAAATCGACAGGAGCAGTTTGCATTAGCAGGGTGGGTGAAAGTTTTGAAGCGAACACCGGGGTGGGTTGGTGGCAGTCTTTTTGAATGTTAAGCGGACCCTGGAGCTTCTTTCCACCATCTACCCAAAAAAACCTCACTTTCATTTTATTTCTTTGTTTCACAACCCACTGACACGGTGTCAGCCACTGCCAGTAAAAGCTCACATCTTACTTACGGTTCAATAACAAAGTGCCAACACATTATTATTTTAATAATTTACTCATTCCAGCTCAGCACCTGTCCCTCTTTTTGTTGACAAGATAACAGAATAACAAAACGGGATAAAAGATTTACACCTACCAGTACCATTGTGAGGATTTTCTGGCTAGGTTTTTTCTGTGGGTTTAGTGCAGACTTCTCTGAAACTGGGTCTGGCTTGAGGCTCAAAAACATACCGATTTAATAGCTGATGTTTCTCTAGCCATCTTGGTGCACGCTGCTCTTTCACCAGTCCACCCTAACAGGAGCAGGCAGTTGTGGGCAGGGGCGCCAGGGCCTGTTTGATATTAGATCCAGGATTTTCAAATTGAGTAGAAAGAGTAGATGGTGCTTTCCAGGCCCTTTTCAGGGTTTAAACTTCTTTATGGGAAAAAGACAAATCAATCATTATAAATTCATTAGTAGGAGTTATTTGTATTGGAGTTTAAACATGGTCTTTAGATTCAAAACTACACATTTTGGGGACATAATTTGCTAATTTTCAGGTTCATATTTGTATTTAATGTCTTTACTGTGACATGTTAACATGCATTAATGTTCAAAAAGCTCTATATTCCTTTTCATACTTGCCTGTGCTTGCAGACCTCTTTTCACCCCTTCGGGTCTGAAACCAGAGCCCAGTTTCTGCTCTGATTGGTTAGGGGCTGGCCGGCTCTTCTGTTGTGATTGGTCAAAAACCTCTTTTAGGAGATTGTCTACCTACCCCGTGGCTTACACGTTACAACTGTTGTCGGGCGCTGAATCCCATTAGCAGCTCGAGTGTGACGTAGTTGATTTGTCATTATGTTACTGGTGAACAAAGGAGGGTCTAATGGAGGTATTTTCAGGCAGGCGGAGTGTTGGGAGAGAAATCTTTTGATTCAAGGCCTTTTGCAGACCATTTACAAACCTATATAACACACTACATGAATGTGAAAACAAAACAGTGGCAATGAAGGATAATGTAAAATTAAACATAAGTCTAAAACAATAAACCAATTAGGTGAAGAGGCATTAATGTACTCAGCATTGTTGGTTACCAAAGCACCCAATTCTTCTTACGGTTTTTTTTATAGTAGCCACCGACTCGTACCAGACCAATTAGGCTCTAAGCAAACCACCAGTGTGTACGACAAGAATGGTGTTTTTCTTGCTCAAGGCTTGACCTTTCATTTTGTAAAGGAAAGAAATCCTTTTCATTAAATTTTCCGGACCAGATCTTCCCTGTCCAGTTGTGCACGTCTCTATTTGATGTACTTATAGTTACATTGCCACAATGCATTTGTTCAGGGTTAGTTGGTCAATTGTGGGACAAACATATAATGTCGGCCAGACCAACCAACGAGGGTTTGTAAAGAACAATTTTGGGGCAATTATTCTGTCTCGCAGGACTCCTCCCATGGAGCATTCGATAAGGAAAGTGTGAGGGAGATAGATATCAAAATGCATCTTCAAAGTCAAGATTAAATGAGGCATTAAGTANTTCTGTTTTCTGTGACTGTCTTTCTCACTCTCTCAGACTTTCAGTTGCGCGCGCTACTAAAGAGACGCGCTACCATGGAAACCAAACAATGGTGTAGCTGTTGGCAAGTCCGAGTGGAAACAGTCGTGAGTAAATCAAATTTTAGAGAAATCGGGAGAAATGCGGGAGAAATATGACCCCGGGAGGAAACCGGGAGAGGGCAGTGAAATCGGGAGTCTCCCGCTAAAATTGGGAGGGTTGGCAAGTATGACGGTACGTCCACACAGCAGAGTTAAAAAAATCTTCCAACGCTTCTGCCCATTCACTTTGAATGGGGTGACGTCACCTTTCCTCACTTTTTCGCCAAACTGCATTGTGGGAAGCAAAGCGGAGACTTCCAGGCATCTCAGGATTCAAAAGTTGAGCAATGTTCAACTTTTGAATCTTGTGAAGCTTTCGGTGGAAGCGTCAGCCAATCAAATCATATGCCAGTAAAAGCTCTAGCCAATCAAACCGCTGCTTCTGTGTCAGGGGCGGGAGATTCATGTGATTGGTTGTTGGCTGAGCTTCAGACAAGCCCGTCGGCAAGCTTTTTCCAAAGCCGCTGTGTGGACGTATCGTTAAACTCAGATTGTATGGAAGTGCACAGAAAACTCCTCTTTCAGAATCTCTGTAGTTACAACATTTTGATACAAGTTAAGGTCAGACCTTTTGGAGTAGACAACAACACAATATGATCACAGTGCAGCAGTTTCTCTGTAAGGCTGTAGATATAAATATAACAACTCAATGCAAATGATATTTGACTCTGTTTTGATCCTTTATGTATACAGTATATGTACGATAACAATGTATACAAAGGATCAAGAATAGAAAATATCCTTTCAACTAAGGGACATTTCCTTACTGAAGAATAGCGCTGTCATAACAACACGAGAAGATTGAGCTCCATTAAGCCTCTATATAAATAGTACATAGTATTAGATGAGGAGAGACTCCACTCTGTTCTGAGCTTGAGGCCGATTACCAACGCTGATTCCTACAAATGAATGTCATAGTTTGTAGGCACGGGAAGAAAATAAACCAACCATAATGAAAATGTAATTTGTGTATGTTTTGAAATCAGAAAACATCAAGTCAACATGCAAGAAACAAACAACAGAAGCACTTGGCATAGGGTCAGCTAGAACATAAAAACACATGAATAAGACTGAAAACAAAACTTCAATACTAAACAACTGCTTTGAAACGCAAGAAGTGAATGTATTTCAGTAGCCTTCAGATAAAACAGTCGTCATGTATCTGCAGCTACAACATGACGCACATCGGATGGCAGGTTAAACTGCAGTGCCGACAGGTGCCACACATCACAGTAACTTCACAAAGTAAAATGTCTGGCTACTATCAGGGGAGCCTGCGATGAGGCTGACCTCAGTGTTAAACAGCGCCTCCGGCACAGTGGCTTCAGACGGCTGACCTGTAGCTAACCCAAAGCCTGGGGGCGTATAACCTCTGCCGCATGATAATGGTTGACTCCTGACCTCTTTGTGGCCTCCTCTGTGCTTCTCCAGGATCCGCAGGGTGTAGTTGGTCCTCTGCCCTTTGCTGTTGAACTCCACACGCCCTGTCAGACCATCGTACTCCACCTGGCCCACGGAAAGAGCGAGGTAAGAAAGCACGAAAGAGGACGGGAGAAAAGAGGAGAAACAAAGATTGGAGGATTAAAACAGAGAATGGAAACTGTAGTGGAAACTCCACACTTAATCACCTTCTGGTAAGGAAAGAACACATCTACAAGTTTAAACCAAAGTTGTGTTATTTAATAAATATGGCCAGATAATCCTGCACCAATGTGTGCTAAAGAAATGTGAACCCTTTTAAAACAGCAAGCACTTAATACAGGAAAAAGACAAAGGAAAGGGGAGGGTCTCAGCTAGGGAATTTACATTAGAGGGCTATTGAAATGTTGGTTATTAGGTTCAAGGCTCAAGGTTCTTTATTGTCAAACTAACTACAGAGTAATTATGTCGTTGAAAATCTTAGGTCACAGGCTTCTCCAACAATGCAACACAATAATACAGATAAGCAGACACAAATAAAAAAATATTAAAATATACTATATTAAAAGTAATACAAAAAGAAAAATAGTTTTAAAAAAGTGAGAAACAAAACCTATTACAAAACCTATTACAAACCTAAGATCCATATGATAATCACCTGACAATGGTCAAAGCCACACCCTTCTATCTGAGAACATTTAGTAGCTTGGCGTGAATTTAAACTGTGAGAAATTCAACTGTAGGCAGAAAGTTACAGTGAAATATATATGAAATGAGACTTGTGATAAATGTCTACGATAGAAACTATGGTTGCACTATTAATCAAATATGTACTCATGCAATATCCACATAGTAGTAGGCACAATATGTGAAAATATAATTCTGAATTAAGTATTGTAAAGCTGCAAAGAAAGTCCCAATATCACAATTGCAATATACGTCAAAAATATTCACAGTTTTCCAAATCCTGCAGCCGTAGTAGAAACAGTAAGAATAAATGCTGGAAAAGAAACAGGCAATCCTCTTTACAAAGCCAAATATGTTTCTTCCCACTATCTATCACGATTAGGCCGACAGGTGCTATCTACAGCGAAAAGAGAGGGTGAGAAACAAGAAGGCGCTATAGAGACAGAGGAAGTGTGTGAGGATGCAGCAGACAGAGGTGATCAGTTTTGGCTCAACTAGGAGAGAGTGAGTGAGCGAGGCTTAGAGAGAGAGTCAACAGCTCCCTAATAAGACTCAGAACGGCACCTCACAGACTCTCCTCTCCAGAACCCAGGTGCTGGCACTGTTAGCGAGATCTGTGATGAATGGCACGGCGCTGAAGATGGAGCACATCGTGATGTTGACTAACAAAGGCAGATGTCAGGCGATGGGATGGAGGCAGTGAGAGATGGGCTGCCTTGACAACAGGTAGTCAATGAGACGAGTGCAGAGACGACCGGTGACGGGAGATGACAAACAGTAACAAGAGACAGAGGTTACATGCAACGTGAGATAACACAGAATGAAGCTGTGCTGAAGTGAATAATGAGAAAGTCAATTAAGAGATCATTAATCCACCACAGCTCTGATTAGGGATAATGGTTTGCGTGATTTTTCAAGTAAAAATGTCAAAATATTTGCTAGTTCGTTGATGTACAGATGTGTTTCTCTGATTTATATCACTGTCATGTAAACATATTGGTGTTTTTTGCTGCTGATGATGATGATAAGGAAATGATTACCCTTGTTACCAACTAATCTGCCTTTTAATTTACAGAAAGCAATCAATTGGCTTTTCTATTAACCAGTTTAGCCCTGAGCCTGTTTTCAGGTCTCAGGCTCGAAAATGACATTCCCAGAACAAATGACCATATCTTCCCTTCTAAAAGGGTTACATTAATAATCTTTTTTCTCAAAGCAAGGTTACATCTGTGAGTTGGATGTAGAAGAGTCAGAATCAATATAGATTTTTTTTATTTTAAAGTAAATTCAGATTGAACACAGTAAAAACAATTCAATTATAGTGTCCGTCCAAAAAAATAAAATTACTTATAGTGAAAACCACCCTTGAATGATGGGATAGTAAACAAAAAGCTTTAGGAATCCAAACTATAACATATAATAAGTACCCTGTATCAAGATTGATGCAAGACAAGTAACATTTGACCTTTTTAGAGAGGTTTAGAAGAAAACCACTTCTGGGGTCATTTGGGTGCATTTTCCATATCTCTGGCCCCCCTCGTTTTGATGATTGACATCTCTTTTTAACCGTTAGAGCCAATGGAATCGAGGGGAAGTTCCTAAAATCCATCTAAACATTACCCATTGGTGAATGAGTGGTGAATGAGGTTTTTAAATATTAAGAAGCCCTGAGACACAGTTTCGGGAAAAAACTACCCAAAGGAACCGGATTAGGGTCCTCTCGGGCTTAACAGGTTAAATGTATAAAAATGTCGTTAAAAATACCATCACAATTATTTTGGACTCCAAGGTTTTTCAAACGTTTTGCTTTAACCAATATCGTTTACTATCACATACCATTTTAGAATCTAGAACCAGCAGATTTGGCTTTTTTGTTTGAAAAATGACTCAAAATTAATAAATTATCAAAATATTTGCAATTACATTTTGAAAGAAATCAAAAGGTATTTTCACTATTTTCTAACATTTCAAAATGTGGACATCTAAAAACCAATGTAATTGCATTGAACTAAGACTCACTACATGTGCTCCTTTCTTCCCCATGTGTCTCATGATGTAATTGTGTGCATGCTTATGAATTTGTGAATCTGCAGGTGATTTTACAACACATCGAGCGATTACCATGCGCAGGTAGTTCATCAGACTGGTCCCGTGTTGCCAGATCTGAGGCGAGGAGCAGCTGAGCGGCTTCACTCCAATTTCCTGACTGCGGTTCAATTCCCTCACGGCCCCCACCACCACATGCACCGCATCAAACATCAGCGCTGACGAGAGCTGTGGAAGAGGAAACAAGAGAGGTACGAAGGGTGAGAAAGGCAAAGTGGGGGAGGGATGGAAACCCAGCGAAGAGAGACGTGAGTCAAGAAAGACGAGGAGAGATGTGCGAGTTCAGATGATTGAATGTTTAACAGGGAAGGAGAGAGAGAGGGGGGAGAGATGTGAGGTAAACCAGCGGGGAGGAAACACAGATGGAAACATCAATACCCGTTAAGTACAAGCAAAAGACTAGCTGCATCTCTTTAACTGCTCCGTGAATCAGTGAGAGGAATAAAGTAGCTTAATTTTTTATGTGCCGCACAAACAAAGCTTTGAAAATGACTCCTAAATGTGCACATGCATGACTGCAGAGCGCCGTGAGACTCACCGCCGGCCCGGGGTACGTCAGGTCACATCCCTCCCTCCACGAGAGATTCAAGCTCCGGATGAACTCCAAGTAGAAGGGATGGGTGGTGTTAAACATGGAGAAGCCCACGATGTTGGACTGCTCATCCACTATGTCATCCAGTCTCAGGAGCGGGAAGTCCTGGGTACATGAGGAATCAGAGTCCCTTTATAATAATAATAATAATAATAATAATAATAAATGTATTTTGTAAGCGCTTTTACGGGTGCTCAAAGTTGCTTTACAGAGGTAGTGAAAAAGGAAAAGGATTAGTAAAAATCACATTAAAATCAAGCAATAAAACAACAATCTTTATGTAACTTTTTTAGTTTTTATCTTTTTTTAGCATATTGATTATTATATTATAACTTAGTACTTTTTTTAACGCATGTAAGATATGCAACACTAAGCTGTCTGTGGCTCTTCCCTGCTGTAACGCTGCAAATGTCCCCTCTGTGGGACTAATAAAGGTATTCTGATTCTGATTCTGAACAATCACACATTAAAAGTTAGTTTGAAGAGGTGAGTTTTTTTTTTTTGAAGGTGGTGAGGTCAGTGCAGTCTCTGATGGGTTGTGGGAGTGAGTCCCAAAGCAGGGAAATGTACAGTGTAACAGCAAAAAGAGATATGGCAGATACAAGGCAAGGAATAATAAAGTAACTAACGTGTTAATTATATATATATTTTTTAATAAAGAGAAATAAGTGCTCATCCATAGCTAAACGATCCGGAGCAGCATTTAAATCAGCAAGTGAACATATTCACGTTTGAGATACTATAAAAAAGTATGTTTTGCACATAAAAATTATCATAGTTATTGGTTATTAACTTATTACTCGTCTATTATTATTATTATTATTATTATTATTAGAATCAGAAACAGGTTTATCACCAGGTAGGTTGACATGTACGAGGGATTTGACTTAAGTAAAACAAAAATTTAAAAACGCAGATACAGTAGATAACTATTTCAGGAAAACCATAATAACGTTAAAAAATATAGTAAAATATTACAGAATTTAAACAGAAATAGAATGGAGTAAAAACATTGAATAAAATGCGGCAGTAATACAAAAAAATAAAACTATTATATTATGTACATTGTTTGTATTAATTAATGCTGTCAAAATGATCGCGTTAACGGCGGTAATTAATTTTTTGAATTAATTGCGGTAAAATATTTAAAATATTTTACCGCAATTAATTCAAAAAATTAATTACCGCCGTTAACGCGATCATTTTGACAGCATTAATTAATACAAACAATGTACATAATATAATAGNATATGACTGCCAGTCTGAATGGTGGGGTCCGTAACCACTGCCAGTCTGAATGGTGGGGTCTGTAACCACTGCCAGTCTGAATGGTGGGGTCTGTAACGACTGCCAGTCTGAATGGTGGGGTCTGTAACCACTGCCAGTCTGAATGGTGGGGTCCGTAACCACTGCCAGTCTGAATGGTGGGGTCTGTAACGACTGCAAGAAGTTTATTTCTGGGAAAGACATCCAACCTCCAACCTCTCAAAACATTTGCTACTGTCACATAAAATCAGAGTACATGAATTTACAGTCTTCAAGCCTGTCTTGTTTTTTATTGTTTGTTCAGTACTAAAAGGTCGAAGTCCCACAATTAATTGTATTATTCATTTGACATGTTAACTATATCATAAAGCGCTTCAATTGTTCCCTTATGCAACATGAAAGTATCACGATATGTATCGGTCGAGTATCGGTATCGTTCAGTGGTATCGGTATCGTAAAAAAGTCAACGATATGCGTCGTGGGCTCTGGCGTGTGTGGATGAATAGAACACGGTCGTACTTGTGTCTTTGTGTTGGATCTATTGCTGTATCTGGTATATACTTGTGTATGCCCTTGTTTGTATGTGTGGAAGTGTTTGAGTGCCTCGATGTGTGTGCCAGCTGTTGTAAAGTCATCTTTAAACCCCCAGGAGATCCCTTCATGGGTGAGTCCTGTCACTTCTAAAGGCAGTTTCTCCACCAGAGACATGAATAGAGATGTGCGTTTATGTATTTTATTATTAGACAGGCGATGTGCATGGGACTGAGCTGCCTCTGTGGTGTGACAGAGAACATCTTCATAGGCTATTGTATGTGTTGTCACATTAGGTGCTCCCACGTCATTGAAATGTGACAGTGCAAACTAAAGATAAGCCGCAGAATTAGAAGAAAGGGAAAACATTTTATGCCAGGAGAATGTTGATGTGTCCAGTAACGTGTGTGTTGTGTCCTCCCTTCCTGCAGGTGGTGGTACAGGCAGCCAGCAGACCGTTCTCCATGAGGAGCAGTAGAAGATGCCGGCTCTGCCAGCACTGCTGCTGTCAATACACTTCCTCTTCCTCCTGCTAGTCACCATGCCGCCACGCTCCCTCGGTCAGACCCCTGTGCTCTCCTCCGTCCGCATGGGTGAGCCGTCCCTCCATCCTCACTACATGAAAAAAAGTTTCCCAACATACTTTTCCTGGTTGGTTTTTGGGCTCTTTAGTTGACTCAAAGTGGGTTTTGACACTTTGGTTAGAACATCAAGAGATAAAATGACTTTCAAAGGCCAAAAGTGCAGTAATAATATACTTTCTGGGTCCAATCTTGTTATACGGAAAGATATTTCACCATGCAAGTGATCCATGATACAATCTTATTAGAATAACTACTTTTTCATCTACTGTATGTAAGCAGGTGTGAGAATAAAAGTAGATTTTCTTCAAAGAAAGGCTCCACCATGAGTAGCAGTCTGACACCTTCAACAACACTCATACGTGATTTTATACATTTCAATTGGTTTCCTCATACAGATGTAAGAATTCCCTCTGAGTATTCGAAAAATAGGGTTGCCATGATATCAGATTTTCACTTTGCAGTAATTGTGGCTTCAATCATTTTCAACAACGATATTTCCACAATGTCTATAGGGAATAAAAAAGAGGAATCATTTTCAATCCTAAAAATGAATCTACCTCTTTGTTCGTTTTGAGAAATACACAGTTTGTCGGTGGATGAATTATACAAAAAATATAATGTAGGAAAGTGGATAGAGAGTCTGTACCCAGAAAAATGTACAAAAAGATTTGAGAAATCAAATCAAATGATTCAAGAAGCACTTGGGTATTAAACAATGTTAAAGTGGACCTATCATGCTATATTTGAATAATATAGTGTAGGACCATACCTATATATGGCATATTTATACTTTTTATTTTTCAAAATACCAAACAGATCATGCATTTTAGCCATCCCTCATTTCGCTCAATTTAACACTGTCTTTGCATGGGCTGATTCTGTGAGAACAGCACCATCTACAGGCCTGGCATATGTACTACAGCGTCTCCAGCGCTTTCCAACGGCAATGTCCGTGGCTGTCTCCTCCTGATTGGTGGAGTTGGCCCAATAGCCGTAGCGCCACTTCTGTGACGTCATAGAAGTGTTCAAATCTGGATCAGTCTGTATCAGATCCGTTGCAGACCCGTTTTTAGAGATTTGGGTATGGAGGAAAAGAGAGAGGGTTGTGTTTCCTGACACTTGGTGAGTTCCCTGGAACACCGGGGACACATATTCATGTATAAAAGACGTACAAAAGTGCATTTTGCATGATAGGTCACCTTTAATATATGTGTCATTTTAACATCATATCAATTTTAAATGTGTATAGGCTACAGTCAATGCCAGTTCATGGCAACACCCCTTACTTCGAAATATTACATTTTCTATAAGAAGTAAAGAGTCTGACCAAAATAACACATTGTCCTGCTAAAATTATCTAAACACATCATAGACTAAAGGACTTGAGCTTACAACCTAATAAGGCTGTCCAGCAACATCATCTCTGACCCAAACCATGTTCTGAACAGCGAATATGAACTGCTACCATCTAATCGGAGATACAGGGTCCCACCATTCAAAAAAGTCAGACTGTATCCTCACAGTAAATACAGAGCTGAATCCCAGATCAAATGCGCGCTAAAGGGTGTTAGAGCATGTTTTCTCTCAGTGATTGTGATGTTATGTTAAATGTTTGTTGTTTGTTTTTCATGTATTGTGTCTGGATACTTGTCCTTGTTGATGTTACACATGGAGCTGCTGTGATGCAAGTCAAATATCAGACTTGATCTGATCAATAAAGTTTTATCGTATCGTATCGTAAGACATAAATAAAAGCACAACAATCAATATATACAAAATAACAGTCACTTCAATATCTTTGGGAAATGTACATTAGTGCACTGAAGTGGTAGTATGACATTTTGGGAAATACACTTCTTTGCTTTCTGGCAGAGAGACAGATGAAAAGACCTTCACACTTCGAAATATATAATTTTGTGTTAGAAGTCAATATCTTTGTTTGACCAAAGAACACATTGGCCTGCCAAAATTATCCAAACACATCATATACTAATGGACTTGAACTTTGTAACAACTAAATAACAACTACACACACTAAAATGGTAGTATGACATTTTGGGAAATACACTTATATGCTTTCTGGCGGAGCGCCCGATGAAAGACCTTCACACTGCTCTCCTTCCTCTCCGCCTCTCTAGCGGCGATCCTAGATGACCAGTCTGTGTGTGGGCGGGGGGAGCGGCTGGCGCTGTCCCTGGCCCGAGAGAACATCAACAGCGCCATGGAGGGTCCGGCCCGCGCCCGGGTGGAGGTGGACATATACGAGCTGCAAAAAGACTCCCAGTACGACACTACCGACACCAGTGAGTGGGGCCGACGCATGCCAAAGAAAACCAGTAGAGCGGAAACATCCAAGTCTTGCTTAATCTATGAAAGTCCAGCAGGGCATAATTAGCCCAGACAGAAAGTGACCACTAAAAATACCAGTACTTATTATTATTCATATGGACTATTAATATTTATAGTGACTGGCTAAGAGTAGAAAAGGAGTCTGCTGCAGTTTTGATCCCACTTAAAAAGGCTGATGATATTTTACAAAAAAGATAATTACATTTCCGAAAAAAAGCTGCTTTTTTATGAGCAAATGATGTCCGGATAGTTAAAACACCCCCACTTTCGTGTGATTAGCAACCAGTAAGGGCGTTTGCTGATTAGTTTACACGTCATTGGAGACCAGTAATGGGCCAGTAAGCCTGTCTCATTAAAAACAGTGGACCAATGCCCTGCAGTAACAGCTGGCTCTGCCTACTGTGCAGGACACGGCAACAACAAATCATCAAACACTAACACAGATCAGCAGCACAGGCCAGCACAAAGCAGCAGCAGCAGCAGCACAAAGGGCCGCTCCATGACACTTGTATTGATACACAGATTTAAAACAGAATATTTGGAGAGTGTAAAGACTGAAGAAGTGCTGCTGATTCCAGCCACTGAGCTGACAACAGGCTCCCTGCTCCTATTCTAATGGGTCCCCGACCCTGCCACGAGCTACTGGCAACATGTCTGTGTGCTGAAGATGGGGTGTGTACATCTGTGCATGCTTGAGTTGTGTGTGTGTCTGATATGTGTGTGTGTGTGTGTGTGTGTGTGTGTGTGTGTGTGTGTGTGTGTGTGTGTGTGTGTGTGTGTGTGTGTGTGTGTGTGTGTGCCCTTGACCGATGGGCAGGAGACTTTGACAGGCTTGTTTGCTTTCGGCTTATTTTGGTCTCTGGATCAGAGAGCTCATCATCTTACAGCTACGGCTGTCGGAGGCACACACACACACACACACACACACACACACACACACACACACACACACACACACACACACACACACACACACGCACATTTTCACACACACACACACACACACACAATCATGCACATTTACACATGCATGCACACACATTCCTATCTTCAGACACAAATGCACATTCACACGGTGTGGGCGCACACACACAGAGGCACTGGCAGCGACTGAGGACGACTAATTGGGATGAATTAAAATACCAGCCAAATATACCAGCAATAAAAGGAGCTTTATTACTATAAGAATAACGCAGTTAACTCCGCAGACTCATTTCTTCTGGATCTCTGAAAGCTGTTTTTTTTTTTTAGGTGGGTAGACAAAAAACAGTCATAAAAACTCATTAGACTAAAAGATACTGTGCAAAACAAGTTAGACTGTGGCGCAGGGGGTAAATAAGCTTCCACCAATCAGAGGGTTCGATCCCACCCCCTGCAGTAATAAACATGTCGAAGTGTCCTTGAGCAGGCTGTTCAACCCCTTAGCGCTCCTCGGCATGTCTACAAAATGTCAGCTTTAAAGCTTCAGCTACATTGACGTTTATTTAATATTCGCTTTATGGTAAATGATGAATGTTTCCTTTTTTAGGAAGACTGCTCAATGGTAGCTAAATATGCTTATTGCTTTTTTGTTGAGAGTTAGATGAGACCACTCTGAAGGCTTCATACGGCTGACTGACTACAGTCTGCAGCCGGTTAGCTTAGCCTAGCTTCATATTTATCGTCTAGTCTTGAGACATTATTCTTCTCCTCTGACTCCTGGCAGGAAAGTGATTAAGCCTATTGATCAGTTACAGAGACTGCAGGCTGCAGTGTAAGACAGATGATGACCACAACTGTCCTGTAACTAACTTTTAATCATTGATGTATATGTTCAGCATAATGGAGACGATTTAAAAAGCATCAAGTTTTTGACCTTAGCTGATCTTTGTCAGGATTTCAAGGAAGAGAGGGTACCCGAGCCTTGCCTTTTAATACTTTACTTCAGAGGGTTGTGCTTATTGGGTGATTAGGGTATTAACTGTGAGACTATGAGAGTCCTTCAGAACTTTTAACAAGCTAAATTGAAAGTTCATAACCAGAAAAGAAAGGATTTTTACTTTTACTTTACTTAAGATCCCCCTACAGAGTGCACTCTTGCGAATATCACTAATCTTCTTGGGGTCAACACAAAAGCCATTCAAACATCACAATATTGACAATAAAATAAATTATTTTTAAAATCAGAGTAAGGGAATAGATATCTTAAATTAATACTCAAGTAAACATGGCCACCTCCTAAAATAAGAACCATAGGAAGAATATCTTTTTTTACGTTGATTAGATGTATTACATTTCCCATTAAGATGAGAATATGGATACAGTGGAGACTTGTTGTCATGGAGGTTTTGGAGAGTGAAATGTATGCTTGAACTGCATCAATAGAGATGTTGTTAGGTTGAGCCTCTTCTGAGCAAAGTACTCATTGTAATAAACAAAAGTGTAAAATCGTTTCCCGCCTCCCCCACATCGATGTCTTCGTGCAAATAATTATGCAAACTGGCATTTGTTATTCGAAGGCGACCATCAGTCTGTTATGCTTGTTCTAATGCCAGAGATATAATAACATTCGAAATTAATGATTCATAATCATTCAAATCAATAAAAACAACTGTCTTAACAAGTGAATAATCGCAGCAGGCAACCCTGGCCTGCCCTGTTGTCGTCCCCGGAGCATTCATCTCAACATCAATCTGATTATAATGAGACAGATTGTGCTGCTGCAATAGAAGCAGTGCTTAAAGTGAAATACTAATGCAACTTCTGAGTTTTTTGCTGCATCTTGAATGTCCCCTCTTCTCCCCTGACTGCAGCTGTGTTACTGTATGCCAACTGCGAGCTGCCATCCAACTGTAGCAGAGGGGAATGTGTCTGCATATTCAATGTGAATTTCCCCCCCTTCTTCCCTTTCAGTGTGTCAGATTCTACCCAAAGGCGTCGTCTCTGTGATAGGTCCCGCCTCCAGCCCCGCCTCCGGCTCTACTGTCAGTCATATATGTGGAGAGAAGGAGGTGAGTGTGGAGGATTAACACACACAGATTTCATGTAAACATACAGACAACTAGTTCTTCTTCCTCTCTGACACACTACCCCTCCTACCCACACACACGTCATGATGAATGTCTCTAAAGATTAGTTTTCCTTCGCATTTCTTCTCATATAATTATCCAACTGCTTTCTCCCCGTAGCCTTTTATCTTTAAGGTGCTAAATCCATCTATCTTTCCTTTCTTTTTCTCCCTCTGTAGCCTTCACTAATGGATGGTTCTTATTCGCAGTTTTTTCCTGCTCGAGTGTTAGAAGGGGAGTTAATCACGACACATTTGCCTTCCTTAATGTTCCTCTCTCCTCTCTGCCAGATCCCTCATGTAAAGATTGGTCCGGAGGAAACTCCCCGCTTGCCGTACCTGCGATTCGCCTCTGTCACGCTGTACCCTAGCAACGAGGACCTGAGTCTGGCCATAGGATCCATCTTACGCTCGTTCAGTTACCCATCAGCCAGCCTGGTGTGTGCCAAGGCTGAGTGTGAGTACACGTAGTTCCCTTTCTATTGTTATCAAATCAAATCAAGTTTTATTTATAAACCACATTTAAAAACGATTTTTCATCGAGCCAAAGTGCTGTACACGTAATAAAAGCACACTACAATAACATAAGAAAAAGAAATAGAAAAGAAAACAATTCACAACGACAAAACACAGAGAAATGTCAGGTGCTCAGCTCTGACTAGAAGGCCAGAGAGAGTGTTGCACAGTACTTTATGTGCTACTGCCTAGCTGTGTTTGTTGTTTAGGTGGGTGTAAGTGCATCAATTGTGTTCCAGCTATACCGACTATATATCTGTGTGGTTTTTAACGTGTGTGCTTGCAAGTGTCTCTGTGGGAGTGTTGGCACATTCACACAGTTTCGGCGGATATGACTGTTTTGCATGGTTGGACACTCATTTTGACAGTCTGGTCATGAAGTTCTGTCTGTGGTCCGAGATCACAACACGGCTCCTGCTGCTGCTCTTCTATTTTTTTTTTAATGCTCTTGCACACTGTCTCTTATTCACCTCAGCGGGTTTTTCGGCCAAACCAATTTAATAAATATTCGTGTTTGAAATGCTTTCCAGTATTGGAAGAACTTATGGGACATTTGATTTAACTTGCCAGGCACTCAGAGAGCTTTAACATCACTGGGGATTTGGGACTTAGTCGCTAGCCCTCTTTATTTTCATTTTGAAAGAGTGCGTTATTGATTTATTATGCACTGCCCCAGCGAGAGTAGAGGGAATTAAAGGGCTTGGTCCGACGGTGGCTGTAGTATTTAAACAACGCTCAAAATAATGTATGCAGTAGGAGGTGAAAAATACTAATTTCTTCCACTGAATAGTCATCTGACATGATGTGTGTGAGTGAAACTGAGCTGTTGTGCAGCTGTTAACGTCTCGCACAAGCCGAGGAAAACCTTGCAAGAGTGAAGGGCAATTACATAAAGAATTAGTGGGGCCATTGAAGTCTGTGAACACCTGTCACTACAGTGTGAGAAGGGTCGATTTTGACGAACCAAAATGTGCTACGTTTTGAAGAATTCACTCAGTAATTAAGATAATTTCATTATCGTCCCAGCAGGTAGCCAGCCTTCCTCAAAAGCACGCTGAATTCCTCATTCCAGCTTTGAAATGGCTTCAGACGTCTTTTTCTCAGGTTTGATCATCAGTTAAACGTGCAGACAAAGCTTTTTCACCTGTCGAGGTTTAGAAGCAACAGATAGCATCATAGTTAGCGTCCGGGGTTCAGAAGATGCAGCTTTCAACGGAGGGATGTGAGTGTGTAATATATTTGGCTTGAAGGTGATCTTTACAAGGTTATCACAATCACAGACTCTGACCCACTTGGCTGCGCTATCTATCGCCATGGAGCTGGTTGCCATGGCTGCAGAATAGGTGCTAACTGCCACTCAACAGACTTGTTCCACACTGTGAACGAGTGTGTGGGTGTGTGTGGTGCGGTATGTGTGTGTGTTTGATGTTTTTTATGCTTTTACTTTGTCTGTACAGGCGCCGGTGTGTGTGTGTGTGTGTGTTGTTGCCCCTGAGTGTACTGTTTGCCCGTACATGTGTGTGAGGGGTTTGGGGGTATTTGCATGGGTGTGTGTACGGCTCTGTGCTCAACATCAGACAATGTTTACAACCAGTCCACTTGTTTTATTCATCGTGTTTACCCCTGTGTGGAGCGCAGTGTTCAAGTGAAGCAGACATTCTCTCTTTTTTGTCAGTGAGGCGAGAAATGTGTATAGTCCTGAATTTCATTGACACCCACCAATGCGCGCTCTATAATTAAGTAACGTAATTTGAAATTGGTCACTTTTGCAACAACATGTTAATTGCTTTAATCACATATCCCTCCCTTTCAGCCGTGTGTGTAGAATAGATATTAAGTTAGAAGAGAGGAGATTTTAGGTCATTTTTATACATATCGTACTCTCGCTATTCCTGGGTCACAATGCATTATCTGAACCGAATTCCATTATGCCGTTTTCATGAGATGAATGAGGTTACGGACGGCGACGCGAACCGCCAGCAGGAGGAGACGGTGGTGGCGTAAAAAAGGCGAGATGGATAAAGACAGAGAGGTAACTGGAGCACAGGGCAGGGAACAGAGAGATAGAGCAGTTAGGGCTTATGTGTGAGAGGGAGAATATGTGAAGGAAGGAGGGGTGGAGAGGAAGCTGTAAAGTGCATTGATTTTTTCCCTCCTTCTCCAAACTAATTAAAGTTTTGGCCTGGTTCAGTGATTACCCCACTGCTTACAGAGGCTTTCTCCCGCTGAAGGGCTCTGCAAGCACCACCTCTCCTCCCCTCCTTCTCCCCTTCCCCTCCGTCCCCCAGATGCCTGCCCCTCCACTTATTTACATAGCTAGGGGTGCCTTATTATGGAATTACAATTAGGAAGCACCAGGGCTGACTTCCTGGTAAAGGCTCATTCCACACCCAATGTCAAGTGAGTCTTGACTGCCATTGGTACTACTCAATTCGCTTCAAGTGTGAGAATGGTCTCAAGTGCTGTATTTTCGGTCTTTCTCCTCCTGCAGTTCTGCTTCTATTTCCGTCCATCTGTTCGCCAGATGTTTCGCAGAATCCATAAAGAAATCTCCAGTTTTATTTTTATATTTTCTTTGAAGCTTTTTGAACATACACAACGTTTCTGACAGTACATACATCACTCAAAAGAACTGAAGAGCATCATTGATGGATGGGATAGAAGACACAAAGTGAATTACAAAGCACTCAAAGATCGCATACCTCTGCCAAGTCTGCACAACTCTCCTGATTTATTATTCTATTAATAGACAATGTTTAGAAATGTGTCATACTGATTGTTTGATGGCTCACATCAATTTTGGAGGATACCTAAAAATCCTCTCTGGGGATAATAGGGCTTTGTAAAGAGATTAATTTCAGGTGAGTCAGACTCATAAGCACTGAGTTATAGTTTTATTTTGTCATGTTGGTTTGGTGCCATACAAGCTTTAATGTCATGAGCTTATCGTCCTGTTGCAAAATGCTTTTAAACGCTTATGTGAAACCTAGAAGTTGTTTATAATTCGGAGACAGTAAAACGAGTTGTAGCCAGTCCAAAATGCAACTTGATGCCACAGATGACATTGAATGAACTTCAAAGCAAGCGGCATTTTGTTAAGAAAGTTAGTTTGTTTCCACTCATTTATTCACGTTAAATAATACTACATTTTATTAGAAAAAGAAAAAATCAAATGTACATTTTCTGACAGGAAAAAGGAAACGTGTGAGCCTTGGTTTATGGTTCCTAACCTTAATAAATAACAAAGCAAAAGCGTAACTCTACCACAAATATTCAGTAGTAAATAATTTTTGATTTTGAAAACCATATCCATACATACATTTGTATTTTAGTATTTTAATTTCTCAGAACAAGGAGGGGATATGTAAATATTTGAAAGCTTGTCCAAATATTTACGGATCAAACGTGGTTAACTAGATTCGACAAAACTGGGATAATTGACTTTAAAGAGGAAACATATGTGAAGATCCTCGGGTTGATGTGTCAGTTTCCTGTAAAATAAATATGACCATAAAATAATCTTAATACTCTCCAACAGTTCGAACAGTTAGCATTTAAGAGACATCTAAAAAAAAATAGATTTTGTTATTTATTATTTGTTTACCCTAGGGCTGCTCGATTATGGCAAAAATCATAATCTCGATTATTTGGGTCAATAATTGTAATTGCGATTATTCATTGACTTTGAAAACATCCATTTATTGGAGAAATGTTTTTTGAACAGTATGTTTTTAACAGTTGATTACCCTGAACTTTAGGTATAATTAAACTGAAAAACCAAAAAAAAAAAAAGATTATTAAATTAAAAAAAAGTAATAATAATAATAAAAAATAATTGTTTTATTTCGATTATGTTGTTTTCGTAATCGTTGCAAGCCATAATCGTAATCGCGATTAAAATACGATTAATTGAGCAGCCCTAGTTTACCCTACTGTTTATTTTTCCTTATCTTCAGTACATGAGACTTTTCCTCAAAGGACAATGAGTTTATGTTTTGAAACGAATTGAATCCTTTGATTGAATTCACTTCATTTGTATTTAAAAGTATTTCATTTTAGTGTCTTCATTCAAACATCAGGATTGTTGATTCGCTTCTTTCCTCCCTTGCATGTTCTGTTATTGTTCTGTTCATCTGTAGCTTTGTCTTTGTCAGTGTGTCAGTGCGGAGGGATGAGAACAAACAAAGATGGTGGAAATCTGTCTTGGTGTAAATGGATGTTTTCTGAAAGATTGATTTAGCTGCAAAGTTATCTGAAGGAACATTTGAGCAGTTTAGGTGTTTAAAGCTAAATGTATTATTGCTTTATAAATGGTTACATTGTGGCGCTATCTCTACAGCACAAACTCATCAGTTGTTTACCTTCCCGTTGCTTCACTCTTCTACAAAATCTTTCAAGTGTATTTTAAGATAACCCGCTATGCAAACCCACTGAATCCAGAAGCACCTTGGTGGAGGTCATAATAGATTAAGTAAGTCTGTCTGAGAGAAACAGCGAATGCAGACATACGCTAGTGTCTGTATTAAATGATGTTTCATTTCCTGGGGATTTAGACAAACCATCCATCATGCTTTGCAAAATGACACATATATATGACCAGCTGGGAATAAATCAAGATTCTCTCCGTTCCTGCAAAGCTTACATTTTGGAAATATGAGTTGTGTCTACTGATACAGACATTGATATGCAGCTCACCGGTGCATTGGCTTTGCCTCAGGCCTGCTGAGATTGGAGGAACTGGTCCGCCGCTTCCTCATCTCCCGGGAGACGCTGTCAATCAGGATGCTGGATGACAACCTGGACCCTACGCCGCTGCTGAAGGAGATCCGTGACGACAAAGTGGCCACCATCATCATTGATGCAAACGCTTCCGTGTCCTATCTCATCCTCAAGAAGGTCAGTCCTCAAACATCAATACCTTCTACTTACGTGCAGGGTGTGCATTTGTAAACAGTACACACACAGTTAAAGGTCTCCTATTATGCAAAATCCACTTATTCGTGTCTCTTCTACATCAACATGTGTCCCCTCTGTGGAAAGAGACTCTGAAAGTTTCTCTCTCTTTTTGTCCTGATCCATTTCTATAAAAACCTGAGCTGATTAGAATATTTATAATTTATCCCCAGGGGGTATTGGATTTTGTTGCTCCNAAAGACACAAGTACGACCGTGTTCTATTCATCCACACACGCCAGAGCCCACGACGCATATCGTTGACTTTTTTACGATACCGATACCACTGAACGATACCGATACTCGACCGATACATATCGTGATACTTTCATGTTGCATAAGGGAACAATTGAAGCGCTTTATGATATAGTTAACATGTCAAATGAATAATACAATTAATTGTGGGACTTCGACCTTTTAGTACTGAACAAACAATAAAAAACAAGTTTGACGTATGCAGTGGTTACGGACAAGTTTGACGTATGCAGTGGTTACAGACCCCACCATTCAGACTGGCAGTGGTTACGGACCCCACCATTCAGACTGGCAGTCATATGCAGCCACACTTTAGATTTCCGTGCCGACATCGAGCTAATGAAAAAACGAAAGCTAACCGAAAGGCTCAGACATTCGGGAGGAAGGTGAAGGGCGTTGCTTGGCAATCAAGCCAATCACCGAAGCCGTTGCAAGACGCACAATCTGATTGGCTGGCGGTTTTAGCGTGAGTTTAAGGATCTTACGCCTAACTTAATATAAAAAAATATATTTTAAAAAAATTAAAAAGGTTTTTGAAAACTGGATCTGATTTCGGTACGGTATACCGTAGCCGCCAGTAACCGGTATTTCGGTAATACCGGGAACCGGTATGCACCCCTAGCCCACGTTCATGTTTTTTTTCTATTACATAGCCCCGACCTCGACCTCCAAACAGACACATTTTTTTTAAAAAGACACAAAGAAAGCTCAGCTGAGCCTCAGTGGTGCTAAGCAGAGTGACAAGGCCTCGCTCTGACAGACGTGTTGACAAGGCAGTGTGAAAGGATGGAGAGATGAAGGGAGGGGTGAATACAGAGGAGAGGGGGACAGACAGGGAGGATGGGGGGGGGGAGTTGACCTGGGAAAGCTGGTCAACCAGTCTAACTCTCAACACATTTGACAGACAGCTGAAAGAGTCAGTTCATGACCTTCAATTGACCCTTCTGCTGTAAACACAGACATGCTGGAGTGGTAGAAATCTGACCTCTGACCTTTACAAGCACATGAGGGGATGAAAATGACTCTTGTGTGTTTGTGCACTCAATAGTCTGAACATCAAAGAGGCAGATAATACGCATTGTCGTCACTGAGCTGAACGTCCCTTCCACCTCTAATCTTTTTTGTCTTTATACCTTTTCACTTTGAGATCTTTTTTTCCTGGGCTCACCTCTCCAACACTTGTTTGGCTTTGATGTTTAAAGCACACAAGAACCTGTAACCCTGTGCTTTGAATCCCTCATCACGTCTCATAAACCAACTGAACTTCCCGATTTTTCTTTCTTCGCTATCTGTGCAATTACTGACCTGACTTTCTTCCTGTGCCGTGTCAAAGGGTGGGCAAGCGGCTACACAAACATGTCTGTAATGCTAATAGCATGCGCCATACTGTGCAGATGGCTGTGTTGCTCTAATTATTGTAACCGCAGCTCAAAGTGAGCAGTGGCAGAACGTATGCAGGGCCATCTGTATGTGAGACACAGCATATAATAACCGGCACACAGTGGGAGTCATTTATTTCCGCTTTCTATTTATTAAATCATATACAGTATGTTCTAATAATGGTGGATCAAATGGTGAACACTCTTCTTATATATTTACTGTATAATGGTGTACATGTACAGCTTATTATTCTGACCACACAGTGAGAGCAACACAGCTACTTTATTGTTCTGTTGCTACTGTGCGCTGTTTGCTCCCCACATCAGTGGTCGCTTTCTCAATTCACCCTTCCCTAAAGTGTGTGTGTGTGTGTGTGTGTGTGTGTGTGTGTGTGTGTGTGTGTGTGTGTGTGTGTGTGTGTGTGTGTGTGTGTGTGTGTGTGTGTGTGTGTGTGTGTGAACTGCAGGACCTCTTTCCTTCCTGTCTGAGGTTGTTCGAGGGCTCAGAGGGAATGCTACAGCCAGGGCACGGGAGGAGCCTTTCTCCTCTCTACTTAGACACCAAATGACTAACAAAAGCCAACTATCCCTGTGTGTCTCCTCACCAAGCGATGGAGCCCAAGAATATCTGAGTGGGGAGGCAGGTATGGAGGTGCTCCAGTTTCATGGCTGCATAGAGCAGGCGGTGAGCTGAACGCAGCCAAGGTGATCCCTGCCAGCCATTTTGCTGTGTGTGTGTGTGTGTGTGTGTGTGTGTGTGTGTGTGTGTGTGTGTGTGTGTGTGTGTGTGTGTGTGTGTGTGCGCATGTGTGTGTGTGGCTTCCAGACATGTGTGTTCATTTCAGCACATGTATGGGGATGAGTGTGTGTGATGGTGTATTGATCGGGCGCAGCTGAGGTGGCGGGCCTTCAGGTGCAGTCGATCAAACCAGCAGGGAACCTATCAGGGGGGCAGTGCATTTCACAGGAGCCACCTGATTGGCTATTACCAAGAGGCAGATTGCCATGATGACGAATAAGATCCTAACTGAGGATATGCCTTCATCAATGATGGGATGGAACCGGTGCTATTTCATTGTTATTGAGAGCTATTGACAGCATTAGACAGAGAAGATTACAGCAACTATTCTCCAGGGAGAAGAAGAAGGGGGAGGGAGGGGGGAGACGGAAAGCTGTGATAAGAGTGAGGAGAATGAGAGAGAGAGAAAAAAGGAGCACTGGCAATGGGGCCGGGGACGATGTGGGAATAAAGAAAATTGAAAAGAGATTGGAAAGAGATGTGGAGGAGGATGGAGATAGAGGGACGGGAGAGCAGGGGGAGAGTAACAAATTACATTTACTTAAGTTCTGTACTCAGGTATACTCACTATATTACAGAGATGAATATGTTTGCTTTGAACCACCACCATGTATTTCACAGCGACTAGTTATTCTGCAAACATAGGTAACTTACAACTTAGAACATATGGTGCATGGTTCCCAACAGTACATATTAAACTAAGATATGTGCTTTTCCCTTTCCTGTAGTGTGTTAAGGTTTGTGTGCATGTAAATGGTCTGTAAAAGTTCCCTTTCTTAGTGTGTAATCTTCGTTTGAATTCATTCTCCTTGCTTTTTTCTCTTTATCTCTTATATTTATTGTTGCGAAATTGTATTATTTTCTTCCTTTGACACATAAAACAAATGAAGTCAGCTTGTAAATTGGCTGAAAGTACATCAATTCGTATTTAATTACAAAGTTATTTAAATCCTTTTACAAAGTCTGCAGCAAATGTTGCGTCCCATCTGTGCACGTTCTTATTTTTATACATCACTTTTCTTTGTTTATTTTAAAGTAAAGAGCTTAAGATTAGTTCCATCTCACCAAACCACCACATTAAAATGCGGCTAATAGACAGCAGTTATTCATCAGTAACCAATAAATATGAAAAAAATTAACTATATTGGGAATATGCCGCACTTTCATGTGCCCCATCATTAGTTCAGCAGCTAAACTGTGTTTATCACTTTATGGTTAATGCCTCATTGCTAATGACACATTTTGTACTCATCACCGCTCTCTGATTCCCAAATTTGTATGGACTACCTCACTGACAAGAAAAATACTGTGCCGAGAAATTATTTTCTGAAGCTCTACTGCTAAAGCTCCTAAACTACTGCGACTTTCACTCTACAATTTCATTTGAAGGTCCCTTGTCATGGCCATTTCTACTGATCATAATTCCATTGTTGAGGTCTACTAGAATACATTTAAATTGTGCAATTTTCCAAACTCACATTGGTTTCTCATACAGCATCTCTGTAAAGTATGTGTATTCACTCTCTGTCCTAAACGGCTTGTTGGAGCTCCTGCCAACCCCCCCTCCCTGTGAGCCCACTGTGCTCTGATTGGTCGGGACNNNNTTGCGAGGCTCGCTGCTCAGTGAGCCGGCTTACTGGTGTGGTTTCCAGGTCGGCGATACAGCGAGACAGCGCGAAACTCATCCTGAGCACACACAAACACTCAGCCGAAGCAAAAACAATAAGTGTGGCTTGATATTGAGTTAGAAAAAGGTTTATAACGCTGTGATAATGGGTCTGCGGAGAGCATTTCTCCGCCATCCCAACTCGTCTATTACCAACCAGGGAGCTCTATGCAAGTNAATGGGACTCCCTGTTAGCTGAACATTTACGCTAAAGGTCCTGGTGTGTGAGGAGCTCCGCGGATTGGTCCATTTGTTTCTTACGGGAACTGCATGACATCATGCAGTTCCCGTAAGAAACAAATGGGAAAAGAGAAATCTCCAACGAGGCGTTCTGGGGCAGCATAGACAGGTATTTTCTGTGTTAGAGTTTTTTACTCGCTACAGGGTGTACTTTGAGGGTTTGTGACTCTGCAGACCGTTTACATGCAGAAAAACCTTCATAACACACAAGGGGACGGGTAATAACCAGAAAAGCCTGACATGGGACCTTTAAGTCTACAGGAGATGATCCAAGACATACACCTTTTGTTAGGTGATACATGTAAAAGGGTACTGGGTAAGCTTAGTGAGTATTCCTTTTGTTGTGTGTGTGGTGTAAGCTCTGCAAAAAGAGAGCAAAATCATTAACTTAAATCACATTTCTCAACCGAAACTGTCTGCAGTAATAACAATCTATCGAATATTAATTAAGGAAAATCAGTTATAGGACACAAACAACATGTCTGCAGTAATCAAAAAGAGAACGACAAACAAAGGAAGCAAGGCAGCGCATGAAGCCTCTCGTTGAAGTCAAGTGATTGCACCTGAGCACTTCCTGTCTGGAAAGGACACGCCCTCCTCTCGAG